TTTAGTTTGAAAAAAACAAAAATCACCCTCCAACCGTACATCATATGCAGTTTCCCAAAACTGCATCCATAAGTTCTTACCCTAGGCCCAAAGGGCTTAAGAGCCAACCTAAGGGAGCACCTTGGGTCTATAAGGTCTTACCCTTACCAAAGCGTAGATGCCTACCTGACGGGTATGCTTTCTGGCCCATAAGGACTTTCCCAATGCACATAGCAGAGGAGCCACCCTAAGGGAGTACCTTAGGGTCCATAAGGTCTTACCACTAGGCTCATTGGGCCCAGGAGCTAACCCAAGGGTCCTTTTATTCTATAAGGAATTACCAACTTGATTAATGTTGAACCTATATAAGGAATTACCAGTTTGATCGAAGTTGAACCTATAGAGACTTCAAACCAGATCCTAGAGCATCCTGAAGAAAAAAAAATTTCAGACAGTAACCAGTGGTAGCAGGAAATCAAAGTTCAGACATATATTTATTTACAAGGAAAAACAATAAGAGATAACATGTGTCAAGCAAGCATGATTGAAAATACAGTAAATCAAGAATCATACTTAAATCAGATAAGTCATACGGTAGTTAAATCAGAGCAAACCATTCATTTCAAATCAGAGAAAATAATGATGTGCACATGGTATTTCAAACAGATGTTTAAAATAGATATATGGTACATACGGAACACACCTCGTAAAAGGAATTAGTTAGGTAGATTTATCGAAGACCAGCTTCACTACGCTCTTCAAATGTATGAGAATCTAAGTCATATCTGAACAAAATTATTATCGGAGTAGTACACCAAACTGAATATTTAACAAGGTTAAAGAACTATATGAGTAATCACGAGCTCTCGCAAATGACCGGATCGAGAGGAACCATGACGTTGAAAAACATAAAATATGACTTTTTAAAAATTTTAACTTTTTGGTCAAAGTTAATGGTCAAACTGGTCAAAGGACAAAGTCGAAGTCACGTGTCCGATCAACTGTTAACGAGCAGGTCAATGATAACAGATCAGACTGGTTTGGGTTAACTCGGGATGGTTTAGTTTGACTCAGACCGATTCTAGGAGGCTCCAAGAATAGGGAGGAGCCCCACTCGTACGTAACAATGCTTGGCAGCGGTGACAGGGTCAAGGGCAGCTGTTGAGTACTCTGGGAGCATCCAAACATCAATTACAACCTACAACATTTCACATTTCAACCAAAAACCATGAAAATGAACGAAAAATGTCTAAGAGGCTTACCCACGTTGATGAAAAAGGAAAACAACGGCTACGACCTGACCCACTGGTTGGGTTTTAAGTGAACAGAGCTGGGGAGTTCAATAGTGCTAGCAGTGAGGTGAACCAACGCCTTGAACGACCAGAATTCGTGAAAAACCAACACGTGACCTAGATTTTCAGTGAACTTCGAATGAATCCACATGGCTAACGGTGAAGTCTAACAAGGATAGATCATGGGGGTTTTGGTCAGGATGGTGAGGCGGGTCGTTTGCGCTGGCGGTGATAACCACCGATGGTCGGAGACAAAGATTCAACGATGGAGCAAAAGAATGGTCTTTACGCCTTTTGCGAAGAATGTCAACCTGTGTCGGGGGTCTGACGGTTGAAGACGAGTCACGGTAGGACGATGGTTTAACTGGTGGTGTCAAAACATTAAAACAGTGGTCGGAGTGGGGTGGCTCGTGGATACTAATGTTTAGGGTTAGGGAAAAATTAGGGATTTTTCGGGGGGTTGGTTCACGAATAGATTGAAAAGGTTGCCAGATTTGGTTTTGAGTTATAATCCAAACCAAAATTATAAAACATATTTTTATTAACTTATTCATAAACAGTGACCTAGGTTAGATAGTAGAAAGATATGTGGCCATATCTAGGTCATGGGTTCAAACCAGCTCAGCCACTATTTTCCCTATTTTTAAATTTTCTCTACCGACCCAAAAAAGAGAAAATCCAGGGCTAAGTTCCTTAACTTCTTAGATTTTTGAAACAAACCCAAAAGTTTTAGAAATTTATAGTTTAGTCCATAAAATCAATTAATTAGTTTAATAAATTTTGAATTGAAAATTGGGCTGTGACAAGCCGAGATACCCAAAATCACGGTTGTCCTCTTCTTGGCTCGTGACATGTTATTCTTTGTTGGGATTATTTTGAAATTCATAACTAACCTCCACCTCAGCAGACCCTCTCTACTTAAAAGTATAATTTTCATGAAGTCATGTAATTTTGGATCCAAAATTTATGTTAAAAGTTATAAATTGTTAAAGTCCGCTAATAATTTGGTAAATTGGGTCGAATAAAAAGTTTTGGAAAAAATTGAAGGCTATTAAATCAAGCTTAAAATTTTATTTCCACATTTTAAAATGATGGAAAATAATATGGATCATTGGATATGAGAAATATTGCCATGTTTATTTTGGGCCCTTAGATGAAAAATGGCAAGATTAAAATTTTGAAAAGATTGCATGGGTAAAGTTGGAAGGGTTAATTAATTGGTTCATCTTTAAGTTAATAAATATGATAAGGGTTATGTAGCTTGCTATTAAGGTAAATATCAAGTTTCATTAAGGGCAAATTGGATATTTCTCATTAAATGAATATTATATTTATTTAAGCTTAAATATAAGGTAAATTAACATGAAATTGAGGAGGAATTTCATGAAACCAAGCTATTTTTCAGAACCATTTCGTGCTCCCCCATACCTATGTAAGAGAAATTTTATTTTTCAATTTTGAGCAATTTCTTTTGGATTTTGGATAGAGTGTGAACTAGAAAATTTTTCTCTTCGAAAAACGCTATCATTTGGTACCATTATTGCATGCTAATTTGGTTTGTGTTCAAAGATCCCAAATTCTAGGGTTTATGTTCATATTAGGAATTCATGATTTAATGAAAGATTTAGATGTTATTGAGGTTGTAGAATCATTTACAAGCTTGATTATCAATTAAAATCACCTATACATGTCTATGCTTGCTTATGTTGATTTTGACCTAACCCTAGATTTAGGGAAAGATTATGATTTGATGAAATTAAGTTAGTGGTTTGATTGTAGAGATTTTATAATGTTGAATAGAGGTTGGTTTCATGCTTGAATCAAGTGAAAATATTGAATCCCTAACACATATATGGTTTGACCTTGAAAAAATAAGTAGGGAAGAACTGTAGAAAAATTCCTATGGCTTAGAAATGATATTTGAAAGGTTCTACATGCCTTAGAAATTTTTTGGGACATTTTGTAATTTTTCAAAAGTTTATGTATCTATTCGACAATTTTAAAAAGTTATCAGCTGAATGTATAATTACTCAATAAGTGGTCTACATTGCTGGAAATTACTGTTTGAGGGTTGAAATTGAAGTTAGAATGTGAAATTTAGTCATTTTGGAAATTTTGCAAAGTTTAAGTACTAAATGCTAAATATTGAGAACATTAGTGGCTTAAGTGGTGATTATGGTATTGTTGAGATATTAGGCTGGCAATTTAATGCTGGAAAGTTATTGGGCTTAGTAGGGCCTTGAATTAAAGGAAATGATGACAAGGGCCCATTATGAGTAAAAAGGAAAATTTAAGATGAATTTTAGAAGAATTCGAAAAATAATAATACTTTTGGGTATTATTATCAAGTATGAAATATTATTAAGAGTACTAACATGTCTTTTATATTTATATCTACTTGTATGGATGCTAGTGTAGATCGTGATCAAAACTGTCATACAAGCAAATCGAAAGGCAAGGAAAAAAGTCCAAGAGTATCGAATATTGACAGTAAGGTATAATAGTGAGGCATGCCAGGTGAATGCATTTATTATGTACTTATATGATATGAGGACAACTTGTTATGAGTCAACTTCAAGTATTTTTATTTAAATATGTTTTAACACATTTTGAAATATTTTCATAAGTTTATGAAAATGATTTTACAAATTATTTTAGGGTATGATCTGCCCTAAAACGAATGGATGTGTTTCACACAAATTATTATTTATTGACGGTTTGGAATAAATGTTTAACATGCGATTTGGATTTTAAAGCCTATAATATGTACATAGAGACTCATAGGTGCAAAATAATACCATAAATAAGGTGGTATTGTAGTAGTACTTTGTGTACTATAGCACTATGTATGTACTTGGCATACTTGCACTACTAGGAAAAAAAAACCCCTTTAATGACGCGCATTGCGCGTCATCCATGGGTGCAGATGACACATAAATGTGCGTCATTGAAGCCATTGTCATAAATATCAGATGACACGCAATTGTGTGTCATAAATCTATGACGCGCATTTATGACACACATTTATGATGTGCATTTATGACGCGTATTGCGCATCATTGAAGCCCCCGTCATAAATGAAGATGACACACATTTGTGTGTCATAAATTTATGACACGCATTTATGACTTACATTGCGTGTCATTGAAGCACACATCATTAAAAAATATGATACACATTCGTGTGTCGTGATTGTATGTCGTAAATTATATGTATATATATATTGTAGATTGACAAATAATCAAATAAATCACATTTAATGCCTCATAATAATAAATATATATATCATATTATATATAAGTAATCCATTTGTATACAATATATTAACAGTAAGTTATCAAAAATATTGTAATCATATGTCGATACAAAATATCACGACATAATAAAGTTTGCCACATAAGATACCCATTCTTTGCGAATATCATCAATGTCATCATCCGTGTGTTCTTCCTTCCCATCGCCAACCTAAGTAAAAAATATGAAATAAGTATATAATTTATACTTATTTAAAGTGAAGTATATAACTATCAAAGAGTATTAAAATGACCAATTTTAATCATAATAATAAGATTATTGCATGTATGGAAATAAATAAAGTAGTTTGAAATAAGAAGACATATATATACTAACTTGGTGCTATAATAATAAGTAGAAAATAAATAAAGTAAGAATGTTCACAGGAACTTACCATTTTATTAACAACAATCTGGACATGACAATCATTAGAACTTTGTGAATCAAAGTTATGCAAATTTGATCCTTCATGAGGAGCACAATCTGATTCAGAAAACTTTTCAGGAAATTCAATATCTGCACTTGAAGGAGAAAGAAGAGGAATCACTATAGATGAGAATCATGTGCTTTCACACTAGGTAGACAATTAGCACAAGCACATAATTAATACTCACCCAACTAAAAACCTTCACATGCATCAGAGAGATCATCGGTTGCTTGAATATTGTCTACTTCATCAACATCATATAGCAATCCATCAAGAATCTACTAAAGAAACATTTCATCGGATATTAACATAGCACCTATGCATGCTTGCATGCAGTAAATACAATATTCAAAAAAATGTATAAAAAATGTAATGAAGGAAAAGAAAAAACAACATAAAATTCATAACACGAAATATTTAAAGAAAACAATGGCCTGGGTGTGACGAGAAAGCCTCAAGAAGAAAACAATACGTACTTCAAGCTTCAAATCATCTCCTCCTTGACCATAGACCTCACCTTATAAGGAATCACTAACAATATAATATCATCAGAAGAGTAACAAGCAAAATTTAAAATAAAAATCTGAACAAAGGTTTTCATGTGTCAACAAAGAGATTGTAAAGTTAATGTCTAGTTTATACCATTGTATATTGTCTTATCTTTTTGCAAAATTTGATAACAATATATGAGCATCAAATCTTAGAAATCACTCAATGTCTGTCCCTGCATCCCTTTGTGAACCATAATTTTCATGTCTTGAAATGGCTGACTGTTCGTTAATTAAATCAAATATTATAATAGGTCAATACCACCCTGACATCCAGTGCACAAGTCATAAATTTTATGACATTAACGAATATGATAGCTTTAGATTTATGTAAACCAACTAATGAGGAAAAGAAACAAAGACAGAAGATACTATGCAAGACTATATCAGTTCAAACCAACAATTATGACCTATATCACCAGAAACAATTCTTTAACCAGTTTAAAGCACCATTGATGTTGGTTCTGCATCTTCAAAACAAAGTACAACACAAATTTAAGCACAATAATTGTACACGAGCATGCTAGAAATAACAAGGTCACACATTAAAATACATGGTCTTTACTCCTTGTTGTGAATTTCCTCCCTGTAAATAGATGTGCACTGAAGAGGATGAGACAAGTCCATCATAGGGTACTTATCAAAGATTCTAAATGCTTCTGAAATCTTAACATTGATAAAATTAAAAGCACTTCAAAGATCATTTTTTTCTTTTTAATTTTGAAATGAGGGAATTGGCAAAAAGAACAGTGAGAAGTTCTTGAAGACTATTACCACAATTAATTTTCCAGTTGTAATCAAGAGTGCAAGAGAAGTAGTCTTCCATTTTCAAGTGTTTCTATAAGTTTTCCTTCCCAAAACATAACACTCCATTTACTGAAACATGCTCACTACTAGGTTCTGCAAGTAAATGCTCAACTTGAGCTGCTTCTTCCAAGCCAGGAACAACATACCCATCCACCTATATCCAAAAATCAAAAGCATGGGAAGGAGGGTGGGGAGGAATATAATATTTATCAATTTTACACCTTTCTTTATTAAGAATAACAGAAGAAAAAAACATGAAAGTGCAGCCAGAAACTGTAGAAGTAACTAAGTATCAATGGCAATTGACACGCAAAATAGAGAAACAAAGGATGTATTAATTGAAAAAGATTAAAAAGAAGTTTCTTACCCTTTGACATTTTACATCAGCAAGCTTCTTTATCAAATGTAGTTTCCCATCGGTTTTCATGTTTTATAACCATAGCTTGTAATACAATTCCTAACTTGCATTCATGTATCCAAGAATTCCCCACAACTGCTGATACACCAAAACAACCAAAGCAAACAAACATTAGTAATTCTATTAATTAAACCAAATATGGAATTAAAAAAAAGGAAATAAACGATTTTGAGTGTGATTATTTTTTATATGCATCGTAATTCCTTCTGCATTTTAATGCGAAAAGAAATGACTACGACAAAAATACGAAGCAACAAATAAGTCTAATTTAAAACACCATTTCAAGCACAGATCCATTCAAACACTTCCAATGAAACTTAAAAAGTTAAAAGAAAAGGAAAAAGAAGTAATTTCATTTTAATGAAAAAAAGATGAAAAATCAAGTTTAACGAGTGTCATCCAGGATTTAACATTAAAAGGGGGTTTATGAACTGCAATTTATCTTTTATCCAAAGAGACCAATTATAGCGGCTTTATACTCAGATTTGGAAGAGAAATATAGATATTTACAGTGAAATGAGACTACTCGAGCTGTTTAGTTCATCTACAAATTTCCTTTTTCTAAACTCAACAAAGAAAAGGGAGAAGATAATATTAGCTAACAGACCATAAAGAAAACAAAATTTTCTTTCCCCGATGTTTTTTTAGGAATCAAATAGGCTGTAAGAATCAAACATACCTCATGTATCTGCAAACTGATGGCTAACCACTTATCACTCTCTGGTCTACATAATTTTCAGCTCAAAAGAAAACCCTCTAAGAAAATTTAAAACTAGTAAAACCCAGAAAGGAAAAAACAATATTAACTAAATGAAAAAATCTGAACTTGAAGAGATGAAGCAGAGAACTAAGTTAAGAAGAGAAAAGGGAAAAAAGAAGGGAATGTTTGTAAGAGAAGTTGAGAACAACATAAGGCCTCATAGAATGTAACAGATGTAAAAAAGAGACACTTGGGAGCATTGAAGCCGATACCTTGCTAAAAATAGGCTTTGAAATTTTACAGCGGGAAAGCATGCGTACGCGATGAAAATTATGGGGGAAATTAAAAGACGACTTTTAGAGATGACACACAATGACAAGTGTACTCTTTGTGTTTGCTAAATTTTTTGGATTATGACTATTAAATATGATACACATTATTGTAAGTCATAAATCGTTTAGTTTTAAGAAACATGACATTTTTTATGACACACATTTTTTGCAAGTCATAAATTAGTGTGTGTCATCGTTCGTGTGTCATTAAAGGTATATTTTCTTGTAGTGTTGGTGTGTGATGGATATCTATCAATTTTTCAATGCATTATTGCCTTTTTCGTACCAGTACTGTGTACTTGGAGTAGTACTTTTTGTATTATGGCACTTTGTGTAAAAGGATGGAAGTCGTACGAGATTACTACTCCAGAAATGGTTAGTATAGTGTTGCTGTGTACCACAATACTTATACGTTATTGCGACACTTAGGTGCTTATTGTGTACCTTGCATTCTCATTTGTTATACATTAGACTGTGAATGAATATTTTGGAATATACTGATTGATAAGTATGCTAGGCATACGAAATACTATTTTGCAGGTTATTTGATGTAAAATTGGCCTATCAAGTCTGTTTTATGCGTTAATATATTTTATTTGATTAAACACGTATTTTGATCTTTTATGAAATACTTATGTTTTAATATGCCTCATTTATTATATTATGTCTCACTAAGTGAATACTTAGCATGTGACGGTTTTCATGCGTAGGTAATAGCGTACGATCGTAGTGAGGAGTGTAGCTAATATCATCTATCATGGATTGCCTCATCAGTAATAGTATGATGTATCTAGGTGTTTATTTTGATATTACTAGTCGGCATGTACTTAGATATTATACGATGCTCTGATAGGACATATGGTATTTGGTTTATAGTACTATATTATATTCGAACTTAAGCTACTATGTGATGAGTTTCAAAATGCTATTTATATATTAGTAGTTAATTAACGAACATTTTACATATTATAATATTAGATCATTTTCTAAATTTTTTTATTGGTTTTCAAGTACAATAATGTTCTAAAAGTCATGTGACACTCATGTACGGGGATGTATACAGGGAATGAATGTTACATTTATTGGTATCAGAGCTACATGTTCAGCCGATTTCGGTCGAAACTGAATTTATTTTGTGTGAAAAGTTGTACATGTCACTAGGATGCCAAAATTACTGATATGGTATCGATATGTCACTCTTCACTAACTTAAGTTGTTATTATGTGTGTTCTGTTAGATGTCGAAAATTAAGGATAAAGGTAAAAAAGTTAATAATGTTAAAAAGAATATAGAGATTGAAATCGATCCTGTAATACCCCAAACATCGAGTCAGTGACTATATTGAAAGGATTTAAAATTTAGAGGGTTAAATTGAATAAATGGTAAAGTATAAGAAATGATTTAGGAAATTGTGTTTGAGACCAATTAGTAAGAATGGAAGAATGAAAGGGCATTTTGGTCCTTTAGAAGGAAATGGATTTAAAATTCATTTTTATTAGAGATATTTAAGAACTGAAAAAGGGAAAAGTTGAGAAAGCTAAGTTCTTTTTCTTCTTCTCCTTCTTCTCGTCCCATGCTCTCCCCATAGCTAAAGGTAAGATTTCTTCAAGTTGGTTTTTCCTTTAGTTTATGGGCTGGTTTTGAAACATTACGTGTTATAGAGGCTTAAGGAAAGTTTTAGGATTATTAAAACTAAGTGATTAGGGAATTATTTAAGATTTAAGAAAATGGGTTTTTGAGCGATATGATGAAATATGAGTTTTTATTAAAGTTTACAAGTAAATTTGACTTGCCAAAGAAGTAAATAAGAGATTAGAAGCCTTGGAAGTGATTAAAAACATGTATGAAAAATTAGTATGATTCTTAGTTTGGAGTGTTCTTTGGAGATTTTAGATGTTATAAGAAGATTAATGGAGGAAAGTTAGTTGGGTTAAGTGATGATGAGTTTAATGGTACCATTGGTGATAAAAGGAAGAGATTTAAATGAAATTTGGGTAAAAATCGAAATAGAAAATGAAAAATGAAAAATCTGGGTAAGTGTATCGGTACTGGAAGAACAGTATCGATACTATAGGGTTAAATTTGAGGAAAGAGAATGAACAATATCGACACTGATGCAAGTAGTATCGATATTGTTGTGGGTATCGATACTAAGAGGGAGGTATCAATACTATGGAATGCAAGATGCAAAAATGATATTGATATTGAAGGGAGTATTGATACCATAATATAGAAGTATCGATACCATAGGAGGGGTATCGATACCATTCAGTCTGAAATGTTAGGATATTATGAAGACCATCACAATTTGGACAAACAAGTTTGCTGAGTTCCGCTTGAGGCATGTAGAACTCATTCTTGAGAGACTCATTCTCAACTCTAACTATATCATTCTTAGATCGATCTTGTTGAGCATGGCAATTAGTTTAAACCAACAAGATTCAAAA